ATTACGTATAACTAGAAATATTTAATGGATAATATGAGTTTGTTTTGTTTCAGCATCCTATCCATCATCGGTCCCAGAGATGCAAAGATTTTTTTGATACTGTCGACAGTTGGCCACTACTCCTTATTCCCTCTATTATTTCCAGCATCTCTTTTACTCATTAAAGTACTTCTTCTTCTTGTATATGCCTTATACTCGTTCCACAGTTTATCGAAGTTGTACCCATCCTTAACACCTTGTATATGCAGTTATAGCTTACCACTTCTCAGCATATACGAAAGTGTATATTTGCTAGGTCTTGGTGTAATATTTTTCTATGAAAATGTGATACATGTAGCTCTAGGATTGAGTAGCAAGCTTCCCTTCTTACCATTGATGATCACTTCAGTTTATTGTGCAATAGGTGTTATATACTGTTGGATGTATTATTACTATTACTTTTTAAGAAGTAGTGATGAAGTCAGTGCTGTGAATAAAGTAAAAAAGGTAGACTAATATAGTTTTTTGTTTGAGATAAATTTGTATTATTTATACGAACACCTGGATGAATACCTGTATTCCAAAAGTATGCACTTTCTCTGTTGGTAACTTAATATTTAACAATGAAACAATGAAATCAAAGATTTTGATTTTTCGTGAAAAAAATGTATGTTTTAAAGCGGTTTTTCATAAATAACTAAAAAACATAAGTTTTTATAAAAAAAGTTATTACCAAAATTGAAGCTAATAAAAAATTGATTACATTCCTTTCTTGAAAAACCTTTTAATATTAATTCAAAGTGTACATAGGTAATACATAGGTAATTAAATGTATTTTTTTTTTCGGTGAGTACTCAAATCTGAATATTCAAGCTTAAATAACGCGAAAACAATGCATTTTATAAAATATACTTATTGAACAATTTTTAAAGTACTCAGAAATACTTATAAAATGATATTTAGAAGAAGTTGATAGCATCAAAATTAAGCAAGTTATGATGAAAATAAGAGGACCCTTTCGAATTTTTTTGGATTGGACAAAAATTAAAATTTATAGTAATCCCTATAATACTTTCTTTATTTTATTGAATATGAATAAAATATGAATTTTTTCAAATTTTCTAAATTTTATTTTCTTTTGAGAATAACTCCATATATACTCAATATACTTAAAAATGCTAGAGAACAAAATTTGAGATTTTTTTAACAAAGATTTTCCTTTTTTTTTATATTTTTGTAGGATAAAAAATATCTGAGATAAAAACGTTTAAAACCTAAATTTTACTGCGAGAACTATGTAACCGGAGCCCTTTAAGCTTTTATCTTTTAAAAAATAAGGAATTGAAAAGATTAAATTTAACACCACTGTATAGCCCTTCAAATTACCTTTCAAATGGTTTTTGAATGAACCTGATATCATAAAAATTAACGGAGTTATTATAAAAAAACCAATAACATTTTTTTAAAAAAAATTTTGGAGTAGAGATTTTGTATGAATGTATATATAGGAAAAAAGATAGGTAATAAGAAGTAGACATGTCGATAGGTGTATGCTCACGAAATATACATGTGTGGATGTGTATATCTGCTCAAAAACATAGTGGGACTTTCTAGTATGCTGTGTGTCTATTGAATATTTCAGTATAACTCAACAGATATAGCTACAACGTTCAAGGTCACTTCATCGATATATAACGTACATGATACAGTTTCTATGATACATTCGCTTAAAAGTCTGTCTGAAAGAGCAGGATTAAAGATAAACTTTGAGAAAACTAAACTAATGACATCTCGAAATTAGTGGAAATATAACTATTGGCAATAATAACATACAGCAAACAGACACAAACATCTGGAACACTAGATCATAATAAGCAGAGAAAATCAAACACATGAAATACAGAGGCGAATAGGCCTGACATGGGCATTATAAGTTCAATTCCCATGTGTCTCAAGCGAAAGGTTTATAACTAATGTGTTTTGCCTGTACAAACTTATGGAGCAAAGACTTTAACACTCACGCAAAAATCTGCGAATAAAACTGCGTTGTAAACTCAACAACGAGCCATGGAACGTGCAATGCTGAACGTGAGCCTTCGAGACCACATAACAAACCAACAAATCAGGCAAAGCTCAGGAGTTCAAGACGTCATCGAAAGAACCACGACGCTTAAGTGAAACTGTGCAGGGCACTTAGCCAGAACGCCTGGAAAGAAAGGAGGGAGGCCTATGTCCAGCAGTGGACGCGATTGGCTGATTGATGATGAAAAGGAAATATGCATCTGTTGTATGGTTTCCACAATACCAAGTTGATTCTACTACATTGGAGATACTGCAGAACATATTTTTAAGATATTGTGCATATAAATTAAACATACGCATTATTAATCATGATTATACAGATATTTTAAAAACACTAAGCATGAATTTATTAAAAACCCTACGAGATAACTCTAATTAAGTATTTGTGTTTAAATTAATAAATGGTTTAATTTGTTGTCCTGAACTTATTCAATCTGTTAGTTTATATGTTCCCTCAGAAGTCTCAGATATGTTGATCTGTTTTATATTTCTTTTTACCGTACAACTTATGGTATGCACTCACCCATTAAGCGAACACTGAAAATTATAAATAGGAACAATTTAGAATTATTTAGTGTTTCCTTCTGTGTTTATTTTAATTGATCTTGTGTAATATATAATTAATATTTTGTTTTATTTATAATTAAGATTTAATTTCACGTAGTTTTTCACTTTGTGCCCAAGAATATGCTGGTCTTTTAGAGTTTTGAATCACCTCTATGATATTCGTGATCGGTGACTCCAAAATCCTCCGAGTAATGAATTTACACTGATTTTGTATATATTTTTCACAAAACTCTAGGATATGAGGCTCGTCCTGCCACCAGATGCCTCGCACATGATCGCCGACATGATATTCGTGTCCAGCAACCCCAAAAACCCCTTATAAAACGAGTTTGTACTGATTTTTTATCAAATTTCCAAAAAGCTCCAGGAGACAAGGTCCTGGGCATCAGGGCATCGTAGATAATCACCGTCATGATATTCGTGATCAGCGATCCCAAAAACTCCCTAATAACGAATTTGCGCTGATTTTGTTTCGAATTTCCACAAAACTCCAGGAGACGGGGCCGAGCTGTACCAGGTACCTCGGAGACCATCGCCGTCATGATATTCCCCAAGTAACCCCAAAAATTGTCATGTTTCATTGCTTCGAAATGCACTTTGGAAAATGCATTTTCTTTGTTCAATAATGCAGTTTTCATTTCCACATCTTATTTTTGTTCACAAAATTCCTGACACTCATACGAATTGAATGCTAAAGGTTTCATTGAGATCCATCCTGCTGCAAAAATTCGGTAGGTTTCTTGCTTCATTGCTTCCCATCTTACTGCAAAAATTTGGGAGATTTTGGACCTTTTACTGCTTCATTGCCTCGCCTATAATCAAATTTGAATAAACCATTGAAGGTGGCTCATTTTTTGGCAGGTTTGACGTATATTACAACAGGTTGAATGCATTGGTTGAATACTTTTCGTTTTCCTTCTGAACATTTCTTCTTTTTATTACTAAAGCTAATGTGGTGAATATAAATTGTATGGTAAATGGTATATTACAACTGGTTGAATACTTTTCGTCTTCCTTTTGAACATTTCTTCTTTTTATTACTAAAGCTAATGTGGTGAATAGAAAGAAAGTAATGCTGCTTAACACAAAAATATACTTATTTTGAAAAGGAAAAATATATTTTTATAATATTACAGCCTTAAAGGAATACTGATTTAGTCAATGATATACTCACAATATCAGTGGGTAAAATATATAAGAACGTGCAAAATATGATGGTTATTAATATTTAAACCTCGGTTTAAATGGTGATTAGATATATTTTAACTTAATGGTTCTCTATTTGGTGAATTAATTGTAAATTATTGATTAAATCCTAAAATGATATCTGCATGTGTACGAAATTGTGTTCATGATTTCAAATATAGTTTTGATTGCACCAATTCTACTGAACGCTTCTTTTCGATTATTTTTAGTTTGTTCTGTTAAGATATAATAAAAACATAGCTCATTGAACATCACAATCACCCAGTCGCATAACTAGAGATTAGAAAATCCTATCACCTCGAGGTCCCTTTATCTTTGGGTAAGTTAAATAATTTAATTATACTGCGTCAATTTTTGTTTATCGGTCACAAACATAAACGATGCAGCTAAGTGTAATTTTCATTTTGCCCCCTTATTTCTTGTCCGTCTTCCAGCCTTCAATTCTGTCAATACGATCATAGGGAGTTCGACCTCTAAGTTTTTTATTAGAACTCTGTGGCCTATACTTAATCTTAATACTATAGTTTTCTTAGTGTTGCAAGGAGTGATAGCCACTCAATTAACAAACTAGAAAAACTAAAAGAAAATGGAGTGATATAAGTGTCTTTTTACTCTTTAATTATATCTTTTCTCGTAACATGTATTTTGTAAATACATCTTAATATACCTATAACAATATATTTTGCCATATTTCGCACATTCTTAATGAAACATTTTAAAGCTTAAGTTTAATAGTAGTCTTATCGTAGTTATAAATATGACATAGAATGCAGACAAAAGGAAAATGTGCTGACAATATGATGTTAATAATCATGTTGACGGTATTAATGCACTAGAGAGGCGAAACACCAAAAACTTGCTGTATGTAGTGCAAGATAGATTACTGCATATAAGTAAAAAAGAAAATATTTTAACTGTACGATAACTCTCAAAATTGAAATAATAATGAGTATAATACAAAAATGGCAAAATTTTACATAAAGTATTGCAGGTTGCATACTTTGGATTTATTCAGAAACGAGCATTTTGGGTTGCATACGCTGTGGTGTAAATTTAAATTGTTTAAGGGGCTATTTATTTTAAAAAAATAGTCAGGTAAAGTAAAAATAAATAACACATATTCCTTTTGCATTTTCTAGTTCTACATTTGATATGAATGTGTATATTTATTTGACATATGTGGTGTACCGTTTGTTAGTTGGACAATATTCGGCATATTCTTCCCATGTACATCCCGAAGACTTGCAGCATTCATGAGTTATGGATGAGCCTGATCTACGCTCAAAACTTCTACGAAATCTTAATAGCCGCTTTGCGTCTTGCCGTGATTTCCAAGGAAATTCAACTGCAATCAAAAACATAGAAACACAAATAAATAAAATAATATGCAGAAATATGTATATTTACTTACGTTCGTTATTATCATCGTATTCTTCAATTTTATTTAGGCTGGGATCGCTTCTTCTAGTCAACTTGTAGATATCTTTCTCGCAAGCCCAATAGAGATGTTTTATGAGAGTGTCCCTACATCTGGAGAATTTTTCTTGATGCCAGGCGTTTTTCCAATCGGAGTGAGTCCTAAAATGTTTATGGGGGGTAAAATAGTGAATAGAAATTTATAAAAGTGGTATATGCTAAAAATGTTTGTATATATAGTGAAATAATTTACTACAATGAACGTATGGAAATAAACTGGTATATACCTAATTATATGCCCAATCTATAAAAGTGGATAAACTGAAATGTAAAAGTTATCGCAGCTTAACCCTCTTATGCTGATGCATAGTATACAAAGTTTTTACTTAGATACTAACCAAACGACTCCAAAATTTAACTGAAAATATTGTCGGAGAATATTGAACCGGTTTACAAGGGAGATGTACAACTGATCAGCTATTCGCAGTTAAACAAATTCTAAACAAAGCCTGAGAATACGACATTGACGTCTACAACATATTCATAGATTTGAAACAAGACAAAAGTTATATCAAATATTGCATAGCTTTACCATTCCCCAAAAATACATCCGACTAGTAAAAGCAACAATGGACTCGTCAACAGCAACTGTCGAGAGTATAAAATGAGCTCACTGAGAACTTTTCAATAGTCAAAGAATTAAAGCAAGTTAAGACCGACACTATTCAACCTGGAAGACGTACTCTCGTAACAAATAAATCAATACAGATTGCCGCCTATTCCGATGACATTAGCATTATGTCTCACAGAACAGAAGAGGCGGCAGAAATATATTCACAATTAAAAGCAGAAGCAAGAGACCAGAGTAAAAATAAATATTCAAAAGAAAACAAAACTAACACAGACAAGAGCTAGGGGAAACAAATGCAAAGTTTAGTTTGAAAACGATATTGAAACTGTAGAAAGGTTCAAATATCTAGAAGTTGGATTAAACACGAATGGAACAGAAGAACCAGGAATTCAAAGAAAAATAGTAAAGGGAAATAAAGCTTACTTTTCACTCGCCCATGTATTCCGCTCCAAAAATACACACTTGAGATCTAAAATTAGTGCCTACCAAAACTATTATCAGACTAATAGTCTCTTATGGATGCGAGACATATTTGATGAGAGAAGACACAAAACAAAAGCTGGAAGTCTTAGAAAGAAAATCCTAAGGAAGATATTTGGACTTAACGAAAACGGAGTATGGAGATCAAGGTACAACCATGAACTCTATCAACTGTTCAAAGAGGCGCCGATCTAAGAATTCGTTAAACTTTAGAGACTTCGATGGGCTGGTCATTTAGTGAGAATGAAAACCAAAAGATATCCAGAAAGAGCCCTAGATAGTAAAATGAAAGACGCAAGACATGGAGAAGATCGTCGCGGACCGGCAAGGTAGGTGGCATAGTTTTGAGGAGGCCAAGGCTCGATTTGGACTGTAGCGCCAATGAAGGGAGGGTGAAGTAAAGTACGTTTGGGGTAATATTAGACTCGAGGTTTACTTGGATTTAGCAGAAAAACGAACAATTAAGAGAGCGGTACGTTGTAGAGTTTAAAGTTAGATATGTTACACTGCTCGAAGAAATTAGCGCACCACTTTAAAACTTAGCATATAACAGGAAAATATTAACTGAAATGAAAAGGATTTTATTTCGTATTACTTTACTTCGTAAAAAAACATATTTAGTGATGGTGTCGCTAACCATCTTCATTATCCATAAACTTAACACAATCTTAAAACAATTAAAAACAAAATGTCTAATTCCAAAAATAGAAATTGTTTAATTTTTTTTGCCTAATAAGACGTATTTCCACACCTGCTACGAAAGACAGCTTGGCATCGACGATTCATACTTAAAATAAACGGTCTTAAAGTATTCTGATTCAGTTCATTCCAAATTTGGACAAGACGTTGTTTCAGTTCCTGCAGAGTGTTTGGTTGATTAGGAAAATTCCGTAGATGTCTACCAAGCAAGTGCCAAACATTCTCTACAGGATTGAGATCGGCACTATTCTCTGGCCATTCCATAATGTTGATTCCAACTTCCTCTAGAAAATTTTGCACTATATTTGCAACGTACGGTCGTGCATTAGAACAAAATTTTTGCCAACATAAGGAGCAAATAGCACAACGTGGTCTTGAAAAACGTCAACGATATATCGGTGAGCGTTGATGGTATGGTTATTCAACACCACCAAGTCTGTACGACCCGTTAAAGAAACGCCACCCCAGACCATAACCGACCTTCCACTGAATAACGTCGTTCCTCGCATGTTATACTATACATACCGTTCGTTCTGACGTTGGTACACGCCAATACGCCTATCACAATTGTAAAGACAGAATCTGCTCTCATTTGTAAACAGAACTCTATTCCAATCAGCCTACAATCAATGGATATGATTTCGTGCAAATTCTAAACGCGCTTTGCGGTGAGCTACGGTCAAGGCTGGCCATCTGGCAGGTATACGATTTACCTGCCCAAAAAATGACATCAAAATAATAGCAGGGGACTTTAATGCCAAAGTCAGAAGAGAGAATATATTTTCTCCCGAAAAGAGAGCCTACACGTAAACTCTAACTGTCCGTAATGATAACGGTCTCAGAATCATAAACTTTGCGATGTCTAAGAACATGGTAATAGCTGGAACACGATTTCCCCATAAAGATATACGTAAGGAAACTTGGAAATCTCCTGATAATGAAACGATTAACCAAATAGATAAAATAATCATCGATGCAAGACACTGCTCTAACTTATTAGATGTTAGGTCTTTTAGAGAAGCAAAAATAGTGATCACGAATAGTTAAAACACGATTTAAGGAAAGAATATCCAATTTAAAAAAGGAGATCGGGAAAAGGAGAGGAGAAATCGACATAAATAAACTAAAAGATCCCGACATTCCAAATGTATATAGTCAGCAAATAGAAGATCAAATAAGGACAGAAAACTTAAAATGAGAAGAAGAACTTAACCAACTGAGGGCAAATATACGAGAAGCAAATAATAGCCGTCGAGAATTTAAACCACGATTAAAAATGTGTAAAGACACCAACGGTGAAATTCCACATGATAAAAACTCAATTCTTAACACATGGGCACAACATATAAACGATATTGAATGAATGTTCAGCGAACATGCACATATAAACGATATTGAAGGAGGTTACAACATAGACAATCAACAAAATCTACAACGTCAACTACACAATGAAGGCCCAACAAGACAAGAAGTGTCAAATGCCATCTTAAAACTCAAATACAATCTTCTTCAGCCTGTGTTCGTCCACTGCTGGACATAGGCCTCTTCCATTTGCTTCCATCGATTTCTACTTTTGGCAATTCTCATCCACTGCTTGCCCGCGACTTGTTTGATATCGTCTGTCCACCTCTTCTGCGGTCTGCCCACTCCTCGCCTGTTCTCTCTTGGTCTCCAGTTTGTTAATCTTTGTGTCCATTTTTCGGGATTATCTCGGGCAACGTGTCCGACCCATTGCCACTTGAGCCTTGCAATACGTTCTGAGACATCAGTAATTTTTGTTCTTTCACGAATGACGTTATTTCGAATCCTGTCTCTCAAAGATACAAATACAATAAAGCTGCATAAATCGATGAAATCTCTTCGGAAATGTATAAAAAAGGTGGTGATCAACTTTTTGCAGCAATCCATAAACTGTAAATATATATAATAATAAACTGTACAGCAATCCATGCCATAGTACTTATATGGCAGAATGAATTGGTACCAGACGAGTGGCTAAAGAGAATAGGACGTCCGTTGCATAAAAAGGGTGATCAACTGAAGTGTAAGAACTATAGAGGCATTACTCTGTTAGCATATAAAAATGCGTATAACATCTTAGGCAATGTATTGTTTGAAAGACTTTTTACAAAGGATATTGTTGGTCAATATCAATGCAGATTTACTGCTGGAAAGTCAACTACACATCAAATTCAAACACATAGGTAGTTTCCAGAAAAGTCACTGAAATATAACATAGACATACACCATCTTTTTGTCGACTTCAAAGCAGCCTATGACAGTGTGAAAAGAACTGCATTATATAATGCAATGATAGACTTTGGGATCCCACCTAAGTTAGTTAAGTTGACCCAACAAACAATGCAAAATGTAAGCTCATACCTTAGATTTAAAGGAGAAAAATCTAGGTTATTTGACATTAATAATGGTCTAAGACAAGGGGACGCGCTGGAGTGTCTGTCTGCTCTTTAATATTGCCTCGGAAAAGGGAATCAGACAATTAAATATTATAATGATTAAAACTATTTTCTGACGATATAGTTATAGTGGACAGAAGTATGAGAGACATGGTGCAGTGTTTTAAAAGGCTTGCAGACGCGGCAAGTGAATTAGGACTTGTAAACGGGAAAAAAAACCAAATATATGTTGGTTTCTAAAACATCCCGAAATATCCAACAGAGAATTCAAATTAACCATAAGAATTCACATATCTTGGATCGCTAGTAAACGCAACAAACACGACAAGCGACGAAATAAAAAGACGCATAGCAAACAGAACTGTTCAAGGTCTCCAGAAACATTTAAAAATTAAAAATATAAAACGTGCAGTAAAGCTCAATATATACAAGACCTTAATAATACCAGTTTTAATATATGGGACTGAAACGTGGACGGTATCTCAAAATGATGGAAGACTTTTTAGTATTTTTGAAAGAAAAATTATTAGAAAGATTTTAAGATATAACTTTAAACTACATCAGTTATACACCGATCCAGATATTGTGAAATTCGATATAGTACAGACTTAGATGGGCTGGACAATCGCTAGGATGTCAGATCACGAATACACGAAGAGATTAACATTGAAAAGATGATGTGGAAGAAGACCTACATATTCTAAGGGTCAGAAAATGGAGGAAAGTTGACAGGAATCGACAAGAATAGCGACTTCTTTGTGAGCAGGCCAAGATGCACAACGGATTGTCGAGCCACTTATGAGGTTGAACGCTGGATAACAAGAGTATTCACCAATAAGATAAATCGCTCACCGGCGATAATAGTGGCACAACTCAAAATTGAATATTTTAGAGAAAATCTAGTTTTAAAATTTGTTCTTTTAAATTTTCTTTTATAAGCGATACATATTGTTTAAATAATAAATTTTGTTATCTCATTGATATAATAATAAATAATTAAAATTGCTATGTTTTAAATTTTGATTATTTTGAAAAGTGTAATATGATTTTATATGAAGGCACTATTGCAGAAACAAAGTATAACAGTAATATATATTAAATATATAATATATTAAAAGGTACATGTCTTATATATTGGGCAAATAAGTTTTCTTTCTTCGTTTCTTTGGAATTTTGATAAGAAACGTACATTTGACATTGATCATTTTTATATTAAATTCGTAATTAACAATTAAAAAAGGTTTTCTTTGCTTTCATACTCCAACTTATAATTTTGATTCAACTGTGCTATTCCTTTGCTGTCATAGTCCAACTTAAATTCCCGATTCAACTGTGCTCTTCTTTTACTTCTTTCAATATATACTTTCTCACTGTGAGCCCGTGTATAGGTTTGGATCCAAGAAATGTGAAATCGAACCTTATATTATTTCATATTCTTAGACACTTATTTATATTTATTGTGTTTTCTTTGCGATATAAAGAATTTACAACAGTACACAATTATTTTATGTTTTCTTGCATAAATAATGTAAAAAAAATAAATTAAATGCAAAAGTTATTTCGACACAACTATCAAAAGTGAACAAAACTGACCACCTTTAATGACACTTTGTAAGAAAATAAACGAAAATGAAACCTCTATACTGACATAACTCAGAAGTGTTACTATTGCTGCTTTTATTCAATAAAACTTAAAGAAAACAAGTAAAGAATAAGTCTTTCGACAAAATAGATCAACAATAGAAGTTATATACACAATCAGACAAATTGCTGAAGAAGCATTAAAATATAATAAACATGTCGATATGTGCTTCGAAGATTGGATCAGTTTTTTAATTGCGTTAGATAAGAATATGTGTTCAAATTACTATAAAAACCAGCCATCAGAATGCTAAATATAATTACGGACTTAAAAACACTAAAATTAAAGTTGATAATAAACTATAAGTAATTGCAAATATATATTAACTTGGAAACTAGATAGGGAGATACCACTAGGTAGTCATTTCCGTAATTGACAAAATGATAAAGAAACTAAAAATGCAAGGATATAAACTGGGCAGTACATAAATAATTTTTAGTGAATATTTCAATAAAGCGACCCTCTCAAGAGTAGAGTGTAAAGTTAGAGTGCAGAACAGAGTTCCCAGAATGTTCCAGTCTCAGATAGGACAGACAAAGAGACAGCCTATCATGCCTTCTATTCAATATTGCACTAGAGAAAGCAATAAGAGAATCTGGAATAACAACCAGACGAACGATTATTAATCGCAGCGTACAATTACTAGCGTACGCCGATGACATCGACATTATTGCAAGAAGAAAGGCGGACGTGGTCGAATCATTCAAGGTGCTTGAAGCAGCTACAAAAATAATGGGACTAGAGGTTAATACTAGTAAGACGAAGTATATGAAAGTATCAAATTATATACAAGCAGTACAATCCGAAGATCTAACGATCGGAACATATACTTTCGAAGGAGTAAGAGAGGTTATATACCAAGGCTTACAAATCAATCAGAATAATGCAGTAAGTGCAGACATTAACAGAAGGATATATCTGGCAAATAGAGCCTATTATGGATTAAGAAAATTTTTAACAACAAGCCTAGTTACAAAAAGAACGAAACTAGTGATATACAGAACTCTTCTCAAACCAGGAGGGTGGATTATGGCTTAGACGTTATAATTTCGAACTTTACCGCCTGTATGACAAACCTGTTATTATTAGGTCCATCAAAATAAACCGGCTGCGGTGGTTAGGTCACATAGAGAGAATGAATGAGATGGAGCCGCCAAAACATATTTATAACCAAAAAATAGATGGAGTGAGAAGAAGAAGCAGAGCACGATTTAAGATCAGGTGGAGGAAGACTTGAAAATGTTGGGAGTACGAAACTGGAAAGCCAAGGCAAAGAATAGAAGAGAATGGAGACTTATCCTTGAGAAAACCAAGACTTACCATGGACTGTGGAGCCAATGATGATGATGATGAATATTTTAAACATTCAAGACAGTGGCGGGGACTTATAACATGAAAACATCAGCATTTAAGAACAAATCTGTGGTAGTAAGAAAGAAGCCCAACCGATGCAAATTTGTAATTAGAGGCTAAATTATCGAATAAGTCTCCAGATTCGAATATCGGGTAGTAGAAATCTCCAGCTACGGAAACATGCATCAGGATGTCATATGAAGGAATAATTGGTCATGTGTAAGACCAATAATGTGGTACTAGTCAGATAAGCAAGAGACTTAATCCAACAGACACCAGATTATAAGGAAAAGGTGGCGAGACAGTTGGTGGTTAACATGAAAAATACGAATTGTACTAACATTGGACAAGAACAGGCTCAAGGCCTAATATAAAAATAGCACAACCATACGGTAAAGATCACAACCGTACAAGCATCAAATATGTTTTGTGAAAAATAAAACATAAAATACAATTATCAAGGTCCGTTCTGTAGTGTGGTATATATAATTACGTAATTACCTCTCCCTGAAGACTACATCTAGGTCATTCTCCGTTCCGCTTCCTTCGGTAGCATCAATAAAGACACATATAGCAGCTATAGTCGACACCGGAAGCCACATTAGACTCAGTTGTTCCAAGTAATGATTATTCACATAAGTCTGCTAGAAATACAAAATGTATCTTGAAAATGAAATAGATTTTAAGAAAATGTGTTTAGATCAAAAAGAAAATAATATAAAAAACAAAAATAAGTCAAAAACATTTGATAATATAAAAAAATATATAAATATAAAGTTTCAGCTTCAGATCAAATATATGAAGAAATGATCTGAGATATGAAAATTAAGAAAAGAAAAAAACCTAATAATTTAGTTGAATTAAGCGGGTAAAAATTAAATTAACTTAAAAAAAATGTTTGGCCAACAGTGAACGAAGATAATAAAGACATCATCTTATACGCACCTAATTTCTTGCTAAAATCTTCTTCTAACACCTTTTTACAATATTCTTTCACTTATATATCACTCAGAAAATTTTTTAAATCCGAGATCCAGAATTTCTTTTCGATTGTCGTGGAACGAGAGTCGGTTTTAAGATAGAGATCGTTGCTCATAAACTACCTTCAACTCTTGAAAGTTTTCCCAGATCAGAAAACGGGGAAAAACTCGCGCATGTTTTCTTTTAGTCTTGTAGAATTAGGCGATAAAGTGTGGATGTTGTAAAAAAATATCTGAAGTGGTTAAGAGATTCGTAGGTTTCTACAAGCTATAGTATATTAAACAAAGTAAATCACTACAGAGATATAGTTTTTAATTAAATATACAAATTGAAAAAAAAATGAACCTGCAGCCACCTCCAAAAAAAAGTTTATAATTTTTTCGAAAAAAAAAAATGCATTTGTAACGCATTGTTAACGCTCTCTGGTGTCTGGTAGCTATACGTACAACAAGCTATTAGGGTTTATTTTGTCGTCAGAATTGCGGTGAAAACAATCCTTACAGGAGCAGTTGTGTAATATACTGGGGCTCCGCTGTCACCACTGTAATATTACTCGATATGAACCGTAAATGATGCTTATTTCTGCGAACGGCTGCAATGAATACTGGTTCCACTAGTCTGGAGGGCTTGCTCGCCTTCGTGGATTTACGAGAAAGTAAGGAACTTCGGAATAGGGTTAAGGACTTCTAGGTCTCAGGTCCTGTAAAGGTTTGAGTCTATGGGCTTACTTTAGAAGCCGGATAAATGTATAAGTCGAAATTTGGTACTCTTCTGGTCTCTGTCTGAATCGGTCGGAAGGAACATAAAAACCAAATTTAGAGTCTACAAATGTATTGAATATACTATGTGAATATATACAAATATATTGAATATACTTATTGAAATTTCTTGAATCTATTGAAATGTTCTTTAAATTGAATGCAAAAATCGGCAATCTACAGGTGAAGACATGGAAGAATTTTAGATGCGTCCAGATAATGGCAGATGATATGATACCATACCATATTGCTCGCCCAGATAATTTGAAGATAATGATTACGGCAACTTACAGTAATTCCTGATGACTGCTGCCTAATTCACTGAAGCTAATACTATACTTGTATTAAACACTGAATTTAATTACCATTAAAGGTACTTTATTACTATATATAATCTAATATAGTATAAGATCAAAAAGACTCAAACAAACAAGTGTATACACACTTAGAAACTTTTACAAACTACCCAAGAAAAAAGAGGGGATATCTCCCACTTAGAAATCGTAGGCCAGCCTGAATCTATTTCTAAAAAGATAAGGTCTTAACGACTAGCAGAAAGTCCGAGGTAAATAACGGTACCAACAATTGGACATAAAAAAATTAAAATCCTTTGGATTAGGATATTATAGAAAGATTACTATACGTGCTTTCGACGAAAATTACCAATTTATGAAAAAGAACCCGCATTCCATGAATTCCATGTTATTTTGGTAAGTAAATTCTCCCGTCATGTTTCGGTAGTTTCACAATCAAAATTTCTGCTCGTAAACACGATCATCGGCGTATTATCCACATGGGTAAAAGGAATAAAAATAATTATCATTTTAATTATATAACAAAATGTTACACTACTAGTATCGACAGTCAGCCATGTTACAGACATGTTACAGTACTTCAGTACAGCACTTAAAAAGGGTGCACCAAAGTACTCTTACAAAAAAGACAAATAATTATAGACGAAACAAAGATTTTGATGATTTGAACACAAGTTGGCTAGGTTATTTCCCAAAAACATTTTTTCTGATGAAGAAGATGAGGATGAACAACTGTTAACATTACCTCAAGCAAAAAATTCCTTAACTCCTGCCGATAAAGAAAGAGGAACAAGCTCCTGCTGTTTAAAATCGATCTTTTGTGTGGTCCAAGAAAAACGTCCCCAATCTCCTTTTTGAATCATTTGATTCGAAGTAAATGTTGACGTTAATTCGAGAAAGCCAATCGACCTCTTCTCAGAGTTTCCTTTACTGAGAGTATCTGTAAAACAATTTCCAAAGAATCGAACCTCTACCCTACTCAGAAGAATTCACAACTTTTTATGGATATGGAAGAACTTAACGAATTCTTGGGAACACTTATAGTCTTGAGATTCCACAGCCTTCCAACAATAAGATCATACTGGTCCAATAATGAAAACTTTCATGCTGCATGTGTGACTAAAGTATTTACATTAAAAAAGTTCCTAAAAGTCTTTATATTTTTGCATCTAAACAATAATGAAAATGTGCCCCAACTGAAAACTAAAGAGTTTGATAGGCTCTACAAACTTAGATCACACATAATCCATCTTTCACAGACCTTTCAAAATGCTTTTACGCTATATAGACACCTATTTATTTACGAAAGCATGTGTGCTTTTAAAGCGCGTACGTCATTAAAACAGTACATATCAATGAAAACAATAAAAAGATGCTTTAAAATTATTGTTTTAGACCTTACGTCGAAATATCAAAATCGTAGTTGTTGCGTATACTTTCAAAAATTTTTGCCACAATATCACTAATGCATAAACTACTGGAAAAGAAAACTTTTGCTTGTAAGGTAACAAGAAACTATTTTCCAATACAAATTTCCCAAAATCAGTCAGATTCGTTTAGTTCCAGGGAAACATCTGTGTATAAGTGGAAAGATAGAGGCGTAAAATGTGTTAGTGTTGTCAACAATCTATATAATTTTCAAGAAAAAACTAACGTTTTGAGAACAAACAAAACCGGAAATAGAGATCAAGTCATCAGGCAATACCCGATTATAACAAATACTTGGGTGGAGTAGATCTATTCGATCAATATCATGCTAACTATTTCATCGCATGGAAATCAAGACTTTGGTGTGTAAAAATATTTTACTACCTTTTAGACGCAACAATAGTAAATAGCTATATTTTATATAAGGAGACTGAAAAAAAATAACTCAAGTGCTAATCCTATGACTGCATTACAGTTCCGCAGTGAAATAGCTGATAATTTGATTAGCACTTTTACTTTCAGAGAAAAAAACTAGACCTCTATCAAACTCAACATCTAAAAAGAAACAAACGCACAGCAATTTAATTTATAAAGTTTATAACGCTGCTTTACGCAAAGACTACTATGCACCCTACCATAGTAAATTGAAACTTCTTAGATAATAAACTTAAAATAGTATTCCTGTATTTAGTTTTTTTATATTTTCAAAATAAAGTATTTTTTTATAAACTTTGTAATTGTTTTTACCGGTCGCTATGTATACCATTGTCCAGTAAGTATTAGTTGTCAAAATGCACACTGGTAGCTATATCCACCACCCTTTCCAGCCCTTTTGACAAAGAATTTTTTTTAAACATTTTTTGTCTGGTTAATAATGAACTACTTAATATTCAAAAGTATATTGTTACAAAAAAAAATAGTTCTACCTGTTAAAGGATTATTGTTTTGTATTTTGAGAACTATTTTCAGAGTGGAAATCGAAACGTCAAATAAACTTATTTTTAAAGTAAAATTGTGACTTATTCCCAACAAACGTAGTAAATTGCATTAAGATGCTACAAAAAATAGCTTCAGAACAATATATAATCGACTTAGTCATTTTGGGAATATTTTGATAGAATCATTGTCGAAAACTTACTATTAAAATAAAATTATTGTTGCAAATTTCTTTACTTGAAAAAAAAGACAAATTATCATGCATAATAAAAATGCATAGGTAGTCATTAATTTTGATTAAAACTTTCCATTTGTAAATACTAATCTATAAATGACTATAATATAAACTGAGTAACTGTGAGTCATATCTGAATCATTATGCGATATGCCAACGATATAAGTCTGCTGATAGCTAATACAAAAACATATTTGAAAGTGATGTTTAATGAATTAAGCAGAGCAAGGTAAACTACAGTTATTTTGAACCAAACAATTTTACACGTACAGACTTATTAAAACACTCAACAAAGGTACATCTTTTGTACAGTTCAAAGGAACTTTTTTCCTCGATTACTGCTAATATTATCGGTTCATTTCACTCTCGCGAAGAAATTACTTCATATAAATTGAATGGTAAACAGCGATACAATTGAGTCCATAAATTTTTCCGAGAGGTGTCTCTGACGACACTCCCGACATATTTAATTTGATAGTTTATTGCTTTGTAGGGAATTGTTTTTCCTCCCTAGTCGTCCTACACTTATTGCTTTCGGTGTCACGACGCGCATACAGCGAAAGAAAACACTGGAAATTGTCTAATTGGAATGGTGGATTATTTGAGATTTTAATAGAGAAATTAATAAACTTAAGAACAAGAAAACATCTCAGTATGAACTAGATATTATATAAACGAAATCGCCCAAATAACAAAAGTTTTGGCTCACTTATTACATTGATGGGTTATAACACATGAAGGAGAACTTAATAGTCCTAACCTGAATTTTTTAATTGACTTTCGATCGATCTAGAATTTTCAAAAACACAAAATATTCACGTTAACCATACGGTATATATAAAAACGCTTGGTTATGATTGGAGTGTTTTCTGAATACAATCAATTTTGTAAATATCAATTTTTCGAAAACTACCCAAGTGACATTATGCCCCTGAACAGTAGGGAATAAT